ATAAATAAATAAATAAATAAATAAATAAATAAATAAATAAATAAATAAATAAATAAATAAATAAATAAATAAATAAATAAAGTACTGTATTACCTTCTTTAGCTAGATAGAGCTCTTTAAATTTTGCCCTCTTTTGATTAAATTCTTGCTCAAGGTGCTGCTTCGTAAGTAAAAATTCGGCATTGGTTTTTTCCAGTTCTGCTACTCGTTGGAGGAGAGCTAAAAAAGAAGAAAAAGTGAGAAAAAATGCAGCAGCCTATTAATCCAGAACATTCTATATCATCACCTGGCTCATGAATGCAATCACTCTCTATCACTTTCTTTATTTTTTACATTCAATGGTGCTTTAAAAAATTGTTCAATAACCTTTTTTTTGGGGGGGGGGAGATTATGCCAAATAAAATGGTTTGGTGACAGGATTCTTTGGTTTGAACCGGAATTTATTTATTTTATTTATTAACTGTTTGTTGCAATTCTCTTTTGAGTGGCTTTGGATCTCAGTTCTGGGAGAAGGGTGGGATATAAATCCAATAAGAATACAAGAAAGAGAAATACCATCTTCATCACAGATGTTCCCTCAGCCAGTTTAGCATTTTTGGATAGACATCAGATACTACCTTTTTTTTGGGGGGGGGGAGCTTTTATGCAAAAGTCACTCTTTCAGACTACAAGGCAAACTTCCACCCTCTCATATATTTCCCCATTGGGACCGGAAGGGAATTTATCTTCATAGAAGAGTACCATCTCTGCCTGTGTTACGGTCCACCTACACCCTTCACTTGGAAGCAGGCGAAGGACTGGATCTGCAAGCAGAAGTTTGCACACACTTGCAACCAACAACACCTGCTGTAATTTCTTTTGATAACCTTCCATGCTCACAGCTCACCCTTGTCATGAAGAAGAGCCCACTTGGGTTCAATCCTGTCATCTCCATTTAAGGCAGGAATGGGCAAAGCTGGTTTTTTTTGGGGGGGGGGAGGGGGCAACTTCTCCCTGGCTTTCTATTTTTATTCCAAACAAAATGGTGAATTCCAGTTCCAGGAATCTTCCGGGATTTTGAATAGACCCGTTTTAATCCTTCCACCCCGCCCCCCACCAAAAGAAACCTTGCCCAACTTTGATTTAAACAGATCAGAGAACAAGAGATGGAAAGGTCCCTCTGTACCAGATCCTGGGACGGTGTTGTTCAGAGCAGACGAGGCTAGACTACAAGGGCCAACTGACTCAGTAGAAAGTGGCCTGCTTTGTTCCTAAGTGCAGGTGAAAGAACAGAAGAGGCACACAGTAGAAGACACAGCAGATGACAACTGAATATTTCCAGGCACCATAATGCAATTATTGCCATTGTTTACGAGTCCTGCCAGGTTCACAAGATTCTTCATGCTTCTGCCAGCACTGAGTGGAGTCGCAGGTTGGGAACATTTTGAAAAGAAGAGGGAATAAGGTGCATAGACCGATCACATTTCAAGCTGTGATTGTCTGTATTTGATCTCTCACTGCAGGCTTTCTGTATGGACTGCTGACGAATGAAAAAGTAAAAAATCTACTTTTGTGAATGGCAGCCTACCTTAGGCAGTCTACCTAAGGCTGAAAGCTTCCATCGGGACCTTAACTTCTTGTTGATACCAGCAGATCTGATAGAGATGTCCCATCTACTGTCTAGTCAAGTTAAATTGGATCAGTTTCAGTTAATATAGCCTGAGGATGTGGACAAGATACTTGCACACTGCAAAGCCACCGGTAACTCTCTAGATCCTGGCCCATCGTGGCTCTTAGAATCAGGAAAGGAAGTGACTGTGGAAAGGGCAACTCACATCATTAATGGGTCCCTATGGGAGGGTTCATTTACCTCCCTGTCTAAAGGAAACCATTATAAGGCCCATTCCAAAGAAATCCAGTTCAGAAAGGATGATCCTAACAATTACAAGCCCATTGCCAGCATTTCATTCCTGGGCAAATGGACTGAGAGGGTGGTGGCTGACCGGCTGCAGGTGTTCTTGGAGGAAACGGAGAGTCTAGATCCATTTCAGTTGGGCTTCAGGCTGCACTAAGGGACTAGAACATAAATGGTTGCCTGGCAAGCCGATCTCTTGAGGGAGGCAGACAGGGGTGTGTGTAACCCTGCTGATCCTCCTGGATCTTTCTGCAATCTTTGATACTGTCAACCACGTCAGCTTTCTGAGATAGCTACCTAGTTTGGGACTTAGGGGCTTTCTTTTTCAGTGGCTTTAGTCCTTCCTCAAGGGGGCAATCCCAGATGATACAACTTGGGGAGGTGTGGTCCACCCCATGGGACCTCCATTAAAGGGTCCCACAGTGACACCCCCCCCATTTCCCCAGTACTCTTTAATATCTATAAGAAGATGTTGGGAGAAGTCATATGGAGATTTGTTGTCATTAATACGTGGATGATGCACAGCACTATCCCTTCTCCATCTGCAAGTGATGATGTGGGTCTTTGAGTGCTGCCTGGAGTCAATAATGGACTGGATGAGGGCCAATAAACTGAAACTGAATCCAAATAAGATGAAGATCCTGTTGCTGGGAGGATCGTTTAACCAGTTAGAGGGATATTTACCTGGCCACAATGGGCGTATGCACCCCCTGAAGGATCAGGTTCACAGCTTGGGGGTACTCTTGGGGCCAGCTCTCTCTATGAAGGCACAAATACCTGCTGTGGCCAAGAGTGCCTTTGATCAGCGTAGGTTAATTGCCCAGCTCAGCCCCTTCCTGAGTAAGAAATGCCTAACAACAGTGGTTCATGCATTGGTAATTTCTAAATTAGACTACCGTAATACAGTACCCTCTATGTAGGGGCTGCCCTTGAAGTCAGAACAGAAACTTCAGCAGGTCTAAAATGCGGCGGCCAAACTGACTACAGGTAGCCGCTGGTATGAATAAACAATCTTGGAATGCCTTCATTGGCTCCCTGTTAGGACATCAATATTTGGTGGGATTGTCTCTTCCACAAAATAGCTTAACAGTCCCACCTTTTACAGTCCTTGATATTAAGAACTGTTGACATCTAAAGAGGCCAAAACCCCAAAACTAGAAACTTGAGTTTTCTCACTCATGGCCCCTTCTCTCTGGAACAAGCTTCCTAGAGAGGTTTGCCAGCAGCCACCTCTCTCAGTCCCTTATGAAGCTAATTAAGACAGAATGATAAAAAGCTGCTTTCTGTTAGCAAATATTGACTTGAGATACTCAAATGGGTTTTAATCTGTGTATTTTTATTTAAAGGTAGTTTCATTGTTTTTAGTTAGTGACAAGGTTTGTTGCAATTTTTGTGTTTTTATTGTACCTATGACATTGTGTTTTTATTCTATGATTTAATGTGAACTGCCCAGAGAGTGATAACACTAATGGGGCAGTATAGAACTCAGACAGACAGACAGATGTACATACTTTTGATAGTATCTCTGAATGCTCTGTGCTGTGCTCACATCCTAATTTTGGAGAAAAGTTCTCCAAAGTGGTATTCATTACTAAGAAATATACTTGCACACAATTTGCAACTACTGTTCAAAAAGTCAGAGGTGTTATCAAACCACATCAGTCAACTGGAATAACCGCAAAACTTAATCAACTAATATCCGGTTTTTGTTCTGAGCATAACGAATGCACTGAAGTTACTTCCGTTGAGCAACTGTCTTTTGACTCCTTTACTGTACATCAGCCCCCATTCAAATCAGAGAAAAGTCCATTAAGCAAGCATCTTTAAAGAAGAGGAACATCTTTATACGTCATTTATCCACTCAACTGAGCATTATCAATTACTTCACATGCCTTTCCAAGAGCGCTTCTATCCACCAAAGAGAAGCTCACAATGAGGAGGGTAGCTGGCTCCATAGTCTGCTAAAATATTCCTCCTGTTCCCCAATATGACTCTTAACACAGTTCTCCTTGAATAAATTGTCATTTACTCTTTGACATGGAATGCACTCACAGCTCATGGGGGCTCCCTATTGCTGCATGACTTTTACTCACTCCTGCTGGTCTTTGTTTTTAAGAATTAAACTTTTTTTTAAAAGTAGCATTATTAATAGCAGGTTTCACAATTAAGCAGAAGGCCTTCTGCAAAGACGCTCTTTCTGTAGCTGACAAATAATCGGAGTAACAATCAGAAAGAGACCAAAGGAGCACTTGCAAAACTTCTCAACCCCACAAACAAGGGAAATTTCCTTGCTTTCTGCAAAAATGAGACCCAAATGTCTTGTTTTTTTTTAAAAAAAAACTCCTCTCTCATTCGCTCTCACTCTCTCAGTGGCTCATTTTTCATCTCTTGTTCTGATCAGGAAACTGTGCAGCTTAGTATCTTTTCTAGGAAATTCTGTTCAGGTAAGATGTCTTCCTGCACAAGAAATATAAGAATCCTGCCCAACATGCCACAACTTTCAGGAAGAAAAAAATTGACACCTCCAAATATCCAAGAAAACCTGTGAGTTTTCCCACAACCTTTGCTGGGGAGAGGGAAAATTTTATGGTACAGAGAAATTCTGCTTTGAGGAAAAAAGAGGGATTTCCACTACCACCAGGCTGAGCTTCTCTCCAAAAGCAGAGGCTCGCCTCCCTAAAGTATCTTCAAGGCACGGGCTCTACCACAGACTTCTGTTCTCCTACACACTTCTAAATGATGTTGTGCTGCCACCAAAAAAGTCTCCCAAGTTCTTGCGCCTGTGCGTTTTTCTTCTTCCGGCGTTTCTTTTCCCATTTATGTTACGTTCCATAACAGATCGCAACAATCTACCCTTCTCACTTATCATCTCACCAAATTATTCCAGTGTTTTCTATTTTTACCAGTTTTTTTACGGTTTCTGGGTCTTTATCCATCTGTTTCTGTCCTTCTTCCCTGGTGGCCCTTCTCAGTCCAACAAACTGTTAGCATCTTGCAATAAATCCACATTTCAAATGTTTTTTACCTTTCTGATGTTACATTCCCCAGTTTCTCACCATCCAGGAGAAAAAGGACATACAAAACTGTACCGTGCACATTCTCAAAACTGGTTTTAAGTCCTTCTTGCATGCATTAGGTTTTTAAAGCCGCCCTAGGTCATCCTTATTGCAGGGCAACGATTCCTGGGCTCAGAAAAATCCACATTTCAAGGTAGTTGCATTTGACAACATGCTCCAAACTTTGATTATGACTATTACGCTGCTTTTCTCGGGCAGCTTGTTTGTTAATGATTACCGCAAACTTGAATAAACTCATCACATACGTCCAAAATTATGACCACATTATCAGTTCTGACTGCGGAAAGGAGCCCTGAAGTACATGTACCAGAACCACATAACAAAGCTACACGGGAAGCGATGAGCCTGGAGATAAGAAGTTCATGCTTGCGTATAGGCTGCAGATACAAGCAAGAAACCCGGGAAATAAACATTTAACAGTAACGCATTCCCGTTTTAGCAATCCATCACTTTTGCCTTGCACAAACTGGCATTGCATGCCAGCTTGTTGAATGTGGGTGGATCTGACCAGAAAAAAACAACAACACAGATTATCATAAATCAAACTCAACAGAAGGTGACGGGCTCTTTCAAAAACAACTCCTTATGGTGGAACTGTACAGCACAGCACCACTGGTTTACTGATGTTACAAACATTAAGTTTATTTCCCGTTTCCATGCACGTTATTAGAACTACACAAACTTCCAAACTGAAAACTACGAAAGATCAGTTAAGCAAGCTGAATGCTCCATGATAAAAATCTGTCGACAGTGAGCGGGTGTGCCTCTAAGCTGCACCTGAACAGAGAGCAGGTGGTCAGGTTTCCTCTTATCTCTTTCACTGTCCTTATTGCTAAGATGCTGCCATAACTAGAGCCAGGAGGGCACAAACCTTCTTTCTCTCTGTAGGTATGCTTCCTACAGCTGCTCCTTCCTGGGCAGAACACAAGCCAGACGGGGCTCTGGGAAGGCTTACTA